TTTTATTTATTTATTTTAGTTAGTCTGACTAAGGGTTTACGGATCTTGTGTACTTTTTCAAAAGTGCACCCCACTGTTTCATTTACTTTATTTTTTAGAGATATTTTAATATGTGGCCTTTTCTGTCCTAGAGATTTCCTCACCTTCTTCAGTGATAGGATTACAGATAGGATCCACTAAACCTAGTGAAACATACCATATTCTGGTATTTACAGTAATTTCTGCACCAGTATTTATAAATTATTTCCATGTAACTATTTATGATTGGTCTTGGTTTTGTAAGACCTTAGGCTATATCATTAGAGTATTTCATATCTTATTATTTAGAATTATATTTATTGTACCAAAAGGATCTAAGTTGTATTTTAATTTTTATTTAATTCTGGAATATTTTAAATTTATCACCATTTATTTCCACTTACCAGTTTTGTTCAATGCTATTATTTGATATCATATGCTATTAAGGCTTCTGTAATTCCCATGCTATTTATTTCAATTTTACTGAAGTGTGATGAGAGGAGATACAAGAAGTTATTGGAATCCTTATTACTTGCTCAGAGTTAATTTTGGTCTAAAATTTGATCTGTTTTTAAAACATTCCAGGAGCTAATGAAAAAAAACATAAATTCTGTAGCTGTTATAGGAAATGTTCCGTGAAGCTTTTTCTGTCCATTTGATCTATGGAACAGTTTAACTCTACAGATTGTTGATTTTTCTATGTCTGGATTATCTATCTATGGATGAGAATAAAGAAGTCACTCACTGTTATTGTATTTGGATCTCTTCCTTTATTTGAATCCAATAGTGCTTGTTTTTATAAAATTGAATATAAATGTATAAATGCTCTGTATCCTAGGTGATCTCTTCCGTTATTAAGGTAGGATAACTTTTTGATGTGAAGTCCACTGTGTTAGATATGAATCTAGCTCCTGATTATGTTTAGCTTCTCATTTGTCAAAGCATTTTCCTTCTATTCACCCTCATTGTAATGTGTCTTTGCCTCTATTATTTTTACAGACAGCAAAAAGAGGTACTTTCTGTGTAAATCGAACTAGTCTGAGTCTTTAATTTGGAAAATGTTAATAGCTAACATAAAATGTGACTCTTAATTTCAGTATACTTACAGTTAATTTGAATACTATTTGTTCTTCCCCTTAGTCTTCAAGATGCACTGAGATGAACATGCAGAATTCATGTCTAATTTCTTCATTTTTTATAGAATTAGTTCTCATTTCAGGTCTGACTTTCTTTCACATGTGTGTGTAGGATTAATTTAATTGTCTTCTGATATGTTAAGCCAATATCTCTCGCAATTCAGAGTTGCTTTTAGTTGTGCATATCTTAGAAGGACTTTTTTCTCCATCAACTATTGTGTATAACTTTGCTGGAAATGCTAATATTTGTTGGCAGCTATTTCCTCTCAGATTTTGAATTATACCACTATATGGTTTCTTATCTTTTAGATTTTCTGAAGAGAAATCTCTGGAAAATCTTATGAGTTTTCCATTGTAAATAAGGTAATGGTTTACTCTTGAAGCATTTTCAGAATATGTTCTTTTCTCTGTTACTGAAAATTTCACTATAAGGAGGAGTGGAGAATACTTTATCCTTTTTTATTCAATATGCTTCTTGTATTTTTATGCCCATGCTTTTCAATAGACTGGAGACATTTTCAGCTGCAATTCCAATGAACATGTTTTATATAGTGTATGTCTTTTCTTTTGGATTTTGTCCCTCTATATGTTCCAGAGCTCCTGAAACTTGTAACTCTTTATTATTCTAAATGCAAAATATATATTTTACATTTCCTCTTCTCATTACCTAAAGTTAGGAAACTTCTCCATAACCCAAATGTTCTGGGATACAAATCCAGCATATTACCTATTCTTAATTCAAACCCAAATATTCTATGTCTAACTTCATACAAAATGTTGCATGTTAAAGTTAAAAATCAGCACGGGTACACCTTATTAAAGATTGCCAATATTGTGAAGTTGACAATAACAATTCTCATCCCAACATATTCTTCCTTCAATATTCCCTGTGTGTATGCTGCTTCTTAAAATGTTTTTTTGATGGTAATGATTTAAAACTTTAATATTTTATTAAAATGTGCTTCATTTTTTGGAGATTTCTTGTTGCTCTGATAACTTCACATTTTTAATTTCAACTATATATGTACCTATAGCTCCACAAATGCACACATAAATAGATTGACATATGTGTGTACATTTAGGTTTGTTTATATTTATTCCTCCAATTTCACATTTTTGCTCAGTGATAAAGGCTTCTTGTTCATGTTCAGTGAGCCTTTTGCCAAGTACAATTTTTGCAGTTCCCATGAAGTACAGAATATTCCTGTCAAGAGCTCACATGTCTGCTGTACTGTCTTTCTACATGAAGTACTCTCTGCTTCCTGAATCCTCATTTCTTTACAAGGGTAAAAGCTTTAACTGGGAAAACTAAATGAAACGTCTCTATATCATCAAGCTTTAGATCAAGAACTTGGTTTCTAATCTTCTTTTTGCAATCAATATCTTGATCAAAAACTAAAGAGTGGAAGTCATAACAATAAATGTGAGTTAATTATACCACTGTATGCTATCAGCTTAATCTATCTATCATTATTCTCTTGTCTGTTACCCTTCTTTAGTGGGGCAGTTACGAATTTCCTAAACATATTTAGCTTATACATTTTCCTTAGATAAAATATTACTGAACAGAGATCACTTTAAATTAATTATGTTTGGTTAATTTTCATTATTTAAATATTTTTATTGTAAAGACACTGTACAGAAGGGTTACAGTTACATGAGTAAGGTAATGAGCACCTTTCCTATCGAGCATTGTTACCCCCTCCTTCGTTAATGTTAGACTTTCTGAAAGAATACCCCATATCAGACATTACTACAACAACACATAATACAAATTTTCCTGTGAGCTGGTACAAAATAAACAGTATACATAGTATGTATGTATATAAATATATATTTGTGGGTATATGTGTACCTTCTGTCTCTCATATATATGTGTATATATATGAGAATATATATGTATATATACATACATATATATATATATATATATATATATATATATAAAATGGTCATTCAACAGTGTAAAAACTCCTTTCCAGTTTTTCATTTAATTATGTAATGTTTTTTACATTCAACAATTCAATCCCATTCATTTGTGGATATGTATATTTTTCTGAGTTTCCTATTACAATTGAGTATTGAAAAACTAATTCACATTCTATTGTACTAATTTAGAAATGTGCCATCAAGAAAATTCACTGCATTAAATTGTGAACATCCTAACTATATCATACGTAAAAGAATTTCCCAATATCAATAATAACACATACCATGCCAGGCTCTGGCAGCTCATGCCTGTAATCCTAGCTACTCAGGAGGCTAAGATCTGAGGATCTCAGTTCAAAGCAAGCCTAGGCAGGAAATGCCATGAGACTTGTATCTCCAATAAAGCACTAGAAAATTGGAAGTGGTGCTGTGGCTCAAGGAGTAGAGCACTCTTTTTGAGCTAAAGAGCACAGGGAAAGTGCCCAGGCCCAGAGTTCAAGGCCCATGACTGACAAAAAATTATAATAATAATAATAACACAGACTGATATAAAAAAAGATCTTTTAATCTAATTAACAATTTTTAGAGTAAAGTAATTAACTCAAAGGGCCTCACTGAGTTCTTTGGGAATCTGACTCCTAAATGGAGTTGAAATTTGAGGATTTTATTAAAGCCTGACCTTCAGATCACCATTTATACACCAAAGTAAATGAAAAAAAAAAACAGATTGGACTGATGGACAAACAGAACTAATACACAGCTCTAATGCCTCTTACTGTCATAAGAAAATGCTGAAATTAATCTTGGTATTCAGTACTCTCGGCAACAGGTGGGAAATTCCCTGACTTGTGTAAGCTAACTTCAGTGAGCTAATGCTTCTGTATTGTTCAGTTATCTTGAGTCACCTGAAAATCTATAGGAAACACATCTTTTCCACCAGAGGATTTGCTCAGCACATTGCATGTGTGAACTCTGAGGGTCTTTTGACGAGTAGACATTGTGTAATGATAATTAATAATGATAATTAGTAATGCTCTTAAGGACATCAACACCAAGTTTAGATGAATTGGTAAAGGTATAATGTGACACTGTAATTGTAAGCAAGAGAGCATGATGCTGGAATGTATAAGCGCTCTGGAGAACTTACATTCTAGGACTCCTTTTGGTTTTTTTTATGTTATTTGTTATTATGGAAGTGATTTCCCCTATAAAGTAAGGAATTAACTACTTTCTCTCTTTAAAATCATGTGGGTCGATTTAAATGTATCCTGCCTACATTTAATACAGTACATCTCAGTTAAAAAGCACATAAGTGGTTTAACTACTTTTTAATTATACCTTCCACATGACATGATGTGTTACTATACAATAAGTACTTTATATGATAGCTAAGCTTTTAAACGTTATTAGATTCATCCAAGTATTTCTATAGAATATGATGCATGCTCATATCCCTAGACATTTTTGGAGCATGAACATCACCTGACCGGTGAGCTAGCCATCTATGCAGGTCTGCTCCGTCACTGCAATCAAAGTCCAGGGAAGTAGAAGTTCCCCAGTACATACCATAATGTTTAGAATGTACTGGCTTGGGGCTATTTGGGTCCTTGAATTCTTTTAACCGCTGGGGCTCAGGGTTTATCTACAGAGTATTTATTGCTCCCTCTCGCCTTTGTCTTCTAACTCTTTCCCCACCTGTAATGTGGCTCTGTTTCCTTATTTATTTATTTTTAATGCAGCTCCTCAATTTCAGCACCACAAGTAGCTCTTCTCGGCCCTGTCCCTTCGTGTTCCCTTGTCCATCCCATAAGCTGACAATGGAAAGATCACACACATCCATTGTATCCATGAAGGGAAATGTGTCTCTTGCGTGGCAGCCTCACTAAGTGCATTTTGTCTTGCTTGTGTCTGTCATAGATAACACAGCCAGCATTCTGACAAGGCGGAGGAGATTTAGTCGAAGTGTTCAGGATGTGTATTATCTGCCCGTTACGGTCTCTGACGGTGGAATCCCCTCTCTCAGCAGCAGCAGCACCCTCACCATCACGGTCTGTGCCTGCGAGAGAGACGGGCGCGTGCGGACCTGCCGTGCAGAAGCCTTCCTGTCGTCGGCTGGCTTGAGCACAGGAGCCCTAATTGCTATCCTTCTCTGTGTGCTCATTCTCCTTGGTAAGTTCGAACCTTGTGTTCCATACGCTGGCAAAGTACTGAACCAGAAAGGGCATTGATCACAAAGTCGGTGTGTTAGAAATGCCTGGTGCATGAGACATCGTGTTCCACGACTGCCTTTGAGCTTTTATGATACTACCATCAAGATGTCCTCGAATTTACAGGGGATAGAAGCACTGAGCTCACGGGAAGCTGTATGGAGGCTGACATAGTGAAGTATAAGTTTTAGGGAAAAAAATAATGTATCTCTAATCCCATCTTGGAAACAATGTTACATTTTGTTTCCAAGAATGTAAATGATGAAACCAAGGCTGAGTAGGACCCCCTTCCTTAGATGAGATTACATCAGATCAGCTGGTTGTGGTGCCACAGGATCATTAAGAGTAGAGCTGGAATGTACACGGGGAACATTGTGGTAACAATATTGTACATTGGGAGTTTACTGAGTGTAGGCATTACATGATCCATATACAAACAGACATAGACACACACATATTCATACACACTCATATACACATGAAGTGACAATGGAGATGCTTGTTTAACTATTGTAAGGACTTCTCTGCACGTTAGTATCTGTTTATACTATGTATGCACATATCTACATCATCTATATCTATATCTACATCATCTATAACATCAATATATACATATACCTATTAAAATATATCTGCAACCAAATCTAAATGAATATTCTATATTTTGTCAAAATATCAATCATAAATTTCAGCTAAGGTTATTTTGTTGTTGTTTTGTTTTATTTCTGGTCTTGAGGCTTGAACTCAGGCTGGCTAGCCACACACAATCTTCACATCTCAGACTCCTGAGTAGCTAGGATTACAGGCATGAGCTGCAGGTACCCGGCACTAAGTTTTAATATATTGACTGTAAACAACTTTAGACTTATATTAAGTTTTATTTAGTGTCATTAATGGAATTTTATTAAGTTTGATAATTTAATTACATTTTCTTTGTTCAAAAACTTTGTCTTATTTAAAGTGATTTGTTTTAGTAGTGTAAATGAAACAATATTCATAGTCAAACATATTACTATAAATCTTTAAATAAATAAATAGAACAAAGTATATTTTTAAAAAGCAGAAAGAAAAAGAATATACCAATTACAGGCCTTACTCTAAGAAAGACAGATATAATCACTTCATTTTCATAGTATGTAGAAAGTACTTTCTTACTTTTCCTGTGTGTTCTAGCTCTTCTTACTTTTTCTTAGCAGGTATACCACTTACTATTTTTCTAAGTACTTTGAGATCATAAAGAGAAAACATTTGTTGTGAAGTCAATATTTATTTGCATGGAACATATCTGTTTTGTCCTTGGGAAAAAGGCAAGCAGATGTGTAGAGGGAATGCACATTAAGTTGGAAAAGAGCTGAAGAATTAAATGGAGATGAGTCCATATATGCTTTTATTGGATGCACAAAGTTTGGACTCTTTGATCTGAAAATGTAAAGAAAAGTTTAAAACAAAAGTCCAATCATACATTTTTTAAAATTCAGAAGTGTTCATTTATGAATAAATTTGAGAACAGACTTCATAATGGCAAGAGATAACAGGTAAAACTGTTAAGAAGTTGACAAGTATCTCATATATAGTATGATTTGGAAGATTGTATTGTGAGAGAGACCAAGAGAAATGAGGAACATCAAAATGTTTTATATTCAAGTGACCTTTCATAACTTAGATGCATAGATGAATTAGAACACTCTCTAAGAAAATCAATCATCTCTTATTCAGGGTGGACTCTGATTTTCCTTGAGCTAGCGACCTTCAAAGCATGTTAAACACATACAATTAAAACAGACTATGGGGAGACACCAAATGCAGAGTAAGCTGTGCAATAGTCCACAAGGCAAATAGTCCTCTAAGGCAAATCAGGTGAAATGGAGCAAAACAGCAAGGAAATCAGAAAGAGAAAAATTAGTAGAGTGCCACAAACATTGAGGGAAAATTGAGGTGTCAGAAACAGAACACTATATGGCACAAGTACATCGATCTCATAATCAGTAGCAAAGGCTGTTCAGAGATGAAATTAATCATTAACATGAATAATTATGACCATCTAGGTGGAATGTGGAGTTTTGTGTATCACAGAAAATGATGTTTCATCACAGTAGACTCTTCTTGTGGATACACAATACAGAAGCTATCAAGAATATCATATATTTGAAATCCTTTTATGTCTTTATGCCCCTATCAATACTAACATATTTTAGCTTATGCTTTTGAAAAGTTGGGGAGAAAGCAAAATTATATAATAACAAAAAAAGAAACTTCTAGAACCCTCTCACATTCCTGGCTGACATGAGAGTCTCATTGATTTTCATAGATTTGTTTCCAGAATGATTACTCTAAAAGAGAGCTCATTTAGAGAAAATGTGTTATTTTCAATCTCATTTGCTTTTACCATCATAAAACTCTGTAGATAAAAATTATAAATGAAAAAATTTAATGTTACATATTACTATACCCTGCATAAAAGGATAATTTATTATTTCTTGAAAATAATGCAGTCTACCAATTGACTTTCATGAACTTTTTTAAGACTTCTAGGGTAGTTAACCAGGCATTTAAAATATATACTATCCTTCAAGCTAAGGAAGGTAACCATTTAATATATGTACCTGTATCTAATCAAATATTATATTGAGTATCCCATAAACATTGCATAATTCTCATTGTCAGGTTTAAATCATCACTAATTATCTTTTAATTTATAGCATTCATAGCATTATAAACATTTTATTGTTATTCTGAAAATAACTGGATAACAGATTCAGAATGTAATCATCTGTAATTATAAATTAATGTTAAAGTTAATTTTTGAGCTTATAATTTTCATGGAAAATATCAATAATAATTTTGAGTAACAATGTTTAATGTAGAGCCTATCATTTAAAACTGATATGCAACTTTAATCACTATATGAATTGTGAAATTAGCATTTTAATATTGAATGTTATTTTAACAATTAGCTTTATATTCATAAAAAATGACAGGGTTTGTATAAAACCAGCCCTAATTTTAACAATGATTATCTGTGATTTCAGGTAACTGATTATATAACTCTCTCATCATATTTCTGAATCTGTAAAAAATGTTTCATATAAAGTCATTATGTTGAAAATGAACTTTTTAACTTTGGTGGGGGGGAGGGTTGGATGGAGGAGCGGGGGGTGGGGGAGGATGGAAAGGGATGGGAAGGGGAAACAAAGGAGGAGGCTACAATACTTGATAAGAAATGTACTCATTATCTTGCCCATATAATTGTAACCCCTCTGTACAGTATTTTCACAATAAAACAAAAAGTAGAGCTATGACTCAAATGGCAGAACTCTAGCTTTGAGCACAAAAGCTCAGGGACAGTGCCAAGCAAAAAAATAAAGGATATTAAAGTTTTCTGTCAAATTTTACATTGTTCATTTTTGTTTTATTATAAATTACATTTTATTTAGCAATTTTCAATGTGGCTACATTCAATCTATCTGTTTATATATCATACATCCGAAGACTATAGTTTTAGACAGCCCAAGATTTTGTGACTCAGGTCAGGTTACTTTTGTGTAGAGTACCTTTCCTAGACCTATTTCATTTGATGAACAGAGAGACATTTAGGGTTTTCTGAAAGACTAGTACAAGGAGATAGCTCTTTCCTTCCCAAGGACCTGACATTATGTACCCAATCCTGTTTGATACTTTGCCAGTGGGACCAGAGCAGCTGTCTGAGAAAGTCTTATCCATACTAGACATCAGAAGTTATAGGTTATGAATGAAAGTCTCTGAAGCCATAGGTTCTGAATTAGAACACTGCCATACTCATGTCTCCAAACTTCATTCTGTTGACTTAGTTTATGACCACATCTGGAATTCTCCCTAGTCATAGAAACACAGTCTTAGAGCAGAGGGCAGTGGATGTGAAAAGAGAAATGTAATGGACTGGGAGAGAGTAGAGAAATGTCAGTTTATTTGCTAGGTCATCCCTAAAGTATCTTCAAAAACCTAACATTTCCATGAAAGCTTCCATGGGCAGATGCAATGTAACAGGATAATCAAAATAATTTTTCTGACTTGAAAAATCTTCCATTCTAGCACATTTTATATCAAAATATGGTGATATAAAAAGATTCAATTGTCATTTAAAGTTAAAAAGAAGACTCTGCAATACAAATAATTTGAAAATACATTATGTGTTATGACTTAGATTATATGAGGTTCCAAGTTATGAAACTGAAATTCCCATAGTATTTGTAGCAGGGGAATGATTATATATCTATTGTACATTGTAAGAATATTATCATACAGTCATTCTCTCAAGATACTATGTTGGAATAGAATTTTACAACTTGGGGGGAGGAGTATGGGGAAGGGAAAGTGGGAGAAAAATGAAGGAGGGAGTAACAATATTCAGCAAGAAATGTACTCACTATCTTATGAAACTGTAACCCCACTGTATATCAGCTTCACAATACAATAAAAATTAAATTTAAAAAGAATATATAATAAAAGGAAAAGTAAATGAAGTGCAATATACTTATTTAAACATCTAATATAATATACAATGAAAATTCTGTCCAAAATTGAATATTAGAGAAGAAAAAGTATTTGCCAAATCAGAATGGAATATTTGTCTTAGAAAAAAGATTTCTTAAAAGTACTATCAATTATTAAATTTTCAATCCAGAAAGTATACAAATAAGTTAGCTAAGAATGTACCCCAAGTCCTAGAAAAGTTAGAGGGGTGGGGGGTTGGGGGGGGAGATGGAAGGGATGGGAAGGAGAAACAAAGGAGGAGGCAACAATGCTTGATAAGAAATGTACTCAATATCTTTCCCATGTAATTGTAACCCCTTTATGCGGTGTTTTCACAATAAAAAAAAAGAAATGATAAGGCTAAGTTGCCATTAAAACAAAACAAGACAAAACTCCAAATTAACCGGCACAAAACTATAATAAAGATCGTGTTAGAAATGAATAATATGGAGGCAAAAAACAATACAGAATTAATAATAGAAAAAAATTTAATACATAATAATTATCCTTACTTCTTTTCATTTGATACACTTTGATATTGGGATTGGGAAAATATTTAGTTCAGCTAACAAATATTTAAAAAATATTTTCAGGAATTATTAGGAAGTTTTTGGTATTAGTAAAATAGGATTGATAGTCAAAATATTTATAAATTATTTTCTTAGCAAGGTTCTTACTTTCAGATAACACAAATATCACACTATCACTTTCCCACAGATTTATTTTTCATTAATTCAAAAGAGAAATATTTGTGGCACATCTCCTTTAAACCATCTGTTCCAGAAGTCCTTGATAACAACAATTTTTGGAATTCTTCATATCCATGATTTATCATTTTTCTCTTAATTTGAATTTGCTTTTAACTACAAAGACCAGAATCTATGTGTGTCCTGATAACTTGATATCATGATGTCTGCTACTTCCCTTTACTCCTAGATTTTATGATATTTTGTATGTTGGCCCTTATATTAAAAATGTTTACATTATTAGGAAATAACTATATATGGAAAGGAGACATTTGGAGACATTTCTTTTTACTCAATGTTCCAATTAGTAACTATATTTTAAATAGAAATATAGCCAGAATATTTTCTTACCTTTTGGAGAACAAGCATATGTATGCCATCATATTAAAAACAGCATTGATCTTCTGATTTCATAAGAGCACTGGATAATTGTAGTAGTGCAATATTCCACAAATGTTGGGGCAGGATGGACATCAGTTCCATACTTTTCTTCTATGTGTGTTGATATAAATTCTCTTCACATCAACAACTAATCATTTGAACATATAAGAAAAAATAACGATTTATTTTAAAAACATGAGAAATCTTAATCTAGTGAATTAGATAATGAGTTGAGATAGACTGTTCAATTCTCATTTAATCATAAACATGGACAGAGGCTCACAGCATAAAGGAAGTCCGGATCTCTGAACACAAGGAAGTGACTGGAAGTTATTATTAAGGTCTTTGAATTAGAAGCCAAAGGTGAATTGATACTGAAAGAAAGACAAAGTGAAGTATCCAAAATATCCTTTCAATATCCTTGCTTTTATTACACTTGATAAAGTGTAATAAATGCCATCTTTTAGCTTTTACCCATTCCAAATACAATTAACAATGTTTTATTAAAGAATACATGTAAAACAATTTGCTAGATAAAATGTGGTATGACCATATGAATGTGAATTTTATACAAACAAATCTGCATGTAGATAAATATTTCTACAAGTGACATACATATGGAATGTGAAACAATACTAAAGTTTGTATGGCATAATTCTTTCTATTTGATAGTAAGTAGTTTAGTATCTAAAATAATATGATTTAAACATAAAACAAAGCACCCAGAGCTCATTTTTGTCATCTATCTGTTGGCTTTAACATTTTTGATAATAATAACTAATTCATCATTGACTGCAGTCAAACTTGACTTATCATTCCAGTATCTATATACTTATCAATCTCTCTTTCTTTATCTGTTTATCTATGTAATTGACTAAGCATCTAATTGTATTGATATTATAGAATATATATTCTATAAAGTGGAACATGTTAATAAAAACACAATCACCTCTGTTATAAGAAATCAGATTCAATCTCATTTCTTCAAACCTGACATCACTGGGGCTGGGAAGGTGGCTCAGTGGTAAAAGCGCTTGCCTTGCATGCCAGAGGCCCTGGGTTCGATTCCTCAGCACCACATAAGCAAAAAGAAAAAAAAAAAAAGCCGAAGTGGCGCTGTGACTCAAGTGGTAGAGCGCTAGCCTTGAGCTGAAGAGCTGAGGGACAGCGCCCAGGCCCAGAGTTCAGGCCCCACAACCGGACCCAAAAAAAAAAAAACAAAAAAAAAAACCTGACATCACTTCCATTTTTCCACCTTAGTTTTAAGTGTAAATTCTAGGATACCTCTGCCCCTTTATTTCTAATTAAAGAAAGACACTCTGTAGTTTAAATACTTTATTTACATGAAGAGCATTGAAAAACTGAAAAACTCTTGTGAATCCTGAATTCTCTACCAGAACTTAATATTGATGGTTAGATAGTCAAATGCAATAATTTGTGTGTGATAGTGTTTTTCAGAAAGACAATTCACCAAATAGAAAACCACATGAATTTCCAATTAATTTTTATTTTTATTTCATTTTTTGCTGGTCTGGGGCTTGAAGTCAGGCCCTCAGCCTCTTTGTGCATAAGGCTAGCACTCTACCCCTTGAGCTGCAGCACAACTTCTGGATTTTGGGTTTTTTTTTTTGTTGTTGTTGTTTTTTGAGTAGTTTCATAGGATATAGGAGTCTCTTGACATTTCTGCCTGGGTTGACTTTTTTTTTATTATTATTTTTTTTGGTTAGTCATGGGATTTTTAATCAAGATTTGGGCACTAACCCTGAGCCCATTTGCTCAAAGCTTATATTCTATCATTTTGATCCTCAGTGTTACTTTTGGTCAATCTGGGGCTGGCTTTGAACTGAAATCCTCAGATCTCAGACTCCTCTGTAGCTGGGATTACAGGCATGAGCCACCAATGCCCAGCCCTCTTTCCAATTATAAAGAAATTTGTTATACCCAGTCTTTCTCATGTGCACCTAAAATGATTATGCATCTGTAGCTAAACCAACACATCATTTTGGTTTTCTGGCAACATAGCATGCAGCCTTTCCATTCACCTTTTCCTTCACATTAAACACTGAAAAGTTATGGTGTAATGTGAGTCTCACCAACATTCCTTGGTGGTGTTGAGCTAATGCAGGAAGAGCCTGGTGTGGAAAGTGGGTGGTGACAGAGAATGGAACTTGCAGATGTCCAGTCTATAAGAACGTTCTGGAAGCATCCCTAACTCTTTCTCTTTGTCTTTCCCCCTCCAGCAATTGTAGTGCTTTTTATCACCCTGAGGCGCAGCAAGAAAGAGCCCCTGATCATCTCGGAGGAGGACGTGCGGGAGAACGTGGTCACCTACGACGACGAGGGCGGCGGCGAGGAGGACACCGAGGCCTTCGACATCACGGCCTTGAGGAACCCTTCTGCGGCCGAGGAGCTCAGGTACCGGCGGGACATCCAGCCCGAGGTGAAGCTGGCTCCCCGGCCCCGGGCACTGTCCACTCCGGACAGCATCGACGTTCAGGAATTTCTTAGGCAAAGACTGGCCGAAGCGGACCTGGACCCCAGCGTGCCCCCGTACGACTCCCTGCAGACGTACGCCTACGAGGGGCAGCGGTCAGAGGCTGGCTCCATCAGCTCCCTGGACTCGGCCACGACGCAATCCGATCAGGATTATCACTACCTTGGGGACTGGGGGCCCGAATTTAAGAAGCTAGCAGAACTCTATGGAGAAATAGAATCCGAAAGAACAACTTAGCCGGGGAGGGGAGGGAGGGCGTGGATGGTTACCACTGGGAGCAGGGGCTTCCTGAGCGAGTGGAGACCCGACCTCAGCCATGACCAGGAGGAAGACGCAGAATTAGACCCGGGACCCCAGCAAGCGCAGGTCCTGTAGAAACAAGTGCCCTTTTGATGATCAACACTGGGGGATTTCATGGAGAGAAAGTCAACTATATAGAGAGAGAAAAGTACAGAGGGAAAAAAAGCTATTGTTCCTTGTGTATATTTTCAATTGCTCAATAAAGTCTGTGGTCCTGTTTAATTAAGAATCCCTGAAAGTAAGCCACACAATGATTATTTCTTTCCACTCTTTGTCCTTTCCTCCTCAAGTATAACTGAACAGAGGGACTTACACATCGCTGACAGCCATGACTTCCAGGGGTAGGGTACACCGCTGAAGGAAACTGGTGAAGGTGATCGTGGCCTCTTTTCCTCCACTTCTGGGTGGACCTTGGAGCCGTCCCCTGCACTCCGTCTTTCTGACAGATCTCGTTACCCTGGTCCTGTGTTTCAAGTCCATGAGGTATTCCCACCCCACCAGGCTACTCTGTCAAGGAACTCTACCTGCCACTTCCCTGTGCCCTCCCCGCTTCTTTTCTCCATACACAGCTGATGGAGCATGGGGATTTGCTGCCTGAACTGTAATGTATGCAATTCTGGTGCACAGTGCTGCACTGTTCTGAGCAAGAGACAAATGGCTCTGCCCTGCCCAGTTTTCCTTATTTGAATAGGCGTTCCCCCTCCTTTCCTTTTCTTTATTTTTTTTTTTTAAAGAAATAGAAGGAACGGTTGAAGATGTACTCCGATAATTTGTCAGGGAAATTTCTAATTTAAACAAATAATAATAATAATTTCTAATTTAAACAAATAATTATGAATCGTATGCCAGACAGAAAACACTGGAGCATTTTGTACATGTTTAGTGTCTTCACAACAGTCACATGGATCGTTCCTCAGGCTAAAATCAGTTGTGAAAAAATTGTGTTATGCTTCAAGGCTAATTCACTGCTTTTCTTGAGAGGCAACGCCTAAACATAGGAACCTCACATGATAGCTTGAGATTTTTTTTATTGTGAAAATACCGTACAGAGGGGTTACAATTACATGATCAAGGTAATGAGTACATTTCTTATCAAGCATTGTTGCCTCCTCCTTTGTTTCCCCTTCCCATCCCTTCCCATCTCCAACCCCCCTCCAGATTTTTGAATAGAGTCACCTTTAACATAAATGTCATAGATGCAGTGACTGATTTTTGTTCTTTTCATTTGTTTAGAATTTCTCATTCTCAGCAGGCCGTGTTTGGTATCTATCTGTAGGATTAAATCCACCAATCAGAAACTCATTCTCCAGCACATCTCTGAAATTCCTTGAGTTTCCAAGTCCAAAACTACAAATTTTAAGTGGGAATAATTTTCCCACATCCTCCTTGATCTCACAGGTTATTGAGAGGATCAAATAAATGCCTGTAAAAACACTTTGTAACTAAAAGCTTTCTGCTATATAAGGCTTACAGATTGTCTAATTTTCTAACTGTATTAGCTTACAAATATATATTGACTAATATATAAAACATCAGATTATCATAAATCAATGCAGCAGCTACCAATTAAATATACAATGTACAAATATAATTTTTTAATATTTTCTGAAAAAAACTAATTTTCATACTGCTTTTTAAGAGTTTTTTCTTTTCCTGAAATAATTTTAAGTAATAGTCCCTTAATTTCGCTATTGGGCTTGAAGTGAAAAGTTCCAGACTAATAGACCTAGCACACACAAAGGATCTCATCCATTTACTTATGATACATTGGATTTTAAAAATCTGTGAAGTAGGAAATATATGAAGACTGACATTTTACCTTATTATTTAATTTATACTTTATTGTCCCCAAAACTTATGACATTTTATGTCTGATTCTACCTGCGTGAAAAGTTTTGAACTTTGCCTCTTGTTTACAACTGCCTACTGCTATCTTATTACAGCTTGGAAGTATTGGAAGTAAGTTTAATTTGGATCATTTTTACTTTGTGTTTCAAGCCTGAGGAATAAACTGTGATCAAAGCTTTTCATATTCTTTTATCACTTGACATGCTGCTTCATCATTTTTTTTACACAATAGTTGCGTGCATGTAGGTGTAAAGCTAAATCAAAAGTGTCATTGTGGAGTTTCAGGGGACAGGCTCTGGATATACCAGCCCTGATTATGCTAATTCTGGATGATACTGAAACTGTGCATCTCTCACAGAGCTACTTCTGAATTCTCATGCTCTGACTATGGGATGCTGACTGACCAAGAAGTTTAGGGAAGTCCATTTGCCTTGGTGATTTAGATTTAAAAAAAAATGTGCTCCATGACATTTTATTCTATATATTGTTACTCAGGTAACTTTACAGAGTGAGGGTTTGAATGTTGAAACATGTACATAGCCATTTATATAAAAATCCAGGTGTCTAAATGTTCTGAGTACCAAAACTGGCCCTATTGTGCCGAACAAAACTCTTTATATCTAACTTTAATTATATGTTATAATGGCACACAGTTTCTAAGCCCGTATGATAAACCTAAGGAAAGAAGGTGAAACAGAGCTGCTGTTGTCTGAAAACAAACTTCCTTGTTGATTGTTTTAAAATGTGTTAATGAAAACATTCTGAATACTATTTTTATATGAATTATGAAACTAGTCTACTATTTATTACAAGCAGAGATTGTGTCGCGTATTTATTTTCCTATTACCTCACTCAAGACGAGAGGAATGCCGTAAAAACCTACTAGTTGATCAGGCATTTAGCACTCCAAAGCTTGGTTTAAAATGTCTACTTTATTAATGCTAAAGAAAGTTCTCAAAGGGTTTTGGGAGTCACATTTCAAGTAGACCATGATTGTTCCCTGGCGGAAGGGAAGTAGCTCTAGTTTCACATGTCACTGCTGCATTTCAACTCATTTTGGGAACTTTAGTTGATTAATTTAGAGACACACATAAAATATATTTTGAGATACATTTATTTCTAATAAAACAATTTTCATACAGGCCAGTTATAAAATGGAGGCTGCAAGATAATTGGAAATAGTAGTAGTATGATGTTATTTTTATACAAGATGCTTCTGAGCAGTATATGTTCAAATACGTTCTTCAAGCTATTAGTAAAATTTGCCTGCTTAATCAGAAAGCAATTGTCAGAAATTGTTCCTCTGACAAACCTGCACAAATATGAATTAGATAATGAAATCAGGGAGGGAAGTATGACTAATAAAAAGTACTATACAGAGGTGAACGATAGATTTCCTATAATATGGAGTAGATTTCTTACAACATGGAAGGAATTACTACATTTAATCACACATATACACATACTTGAAGAATACTTGGAGAGCAAAAGAATATCTTGAATAAGGGCTTATATATTGATTTGACTCAAATATGTGAACATAATATTATAGTTGAAAATTCACCTAAAATTCATAATTCAAAAGGAAACTCCAGTTTTTGTCCAGTTGAGAGACAAAAATTTTATATATATATATAACTATATACATATAGTAATACAAAGGAAATTCCATTTAACAAAGCAGTTTATGAATACAATGTAGTTTGATCAATGTCACTACTTACAACATTCTCAACCATTCCTCCCCTACCAACCACTTCACTTACTCTTCTTACTTTTGTAGGATATACGCTGGATTCTTGTCTGTATTCTCCTCCTCTTCGATTCTCCATTTGTCCACCCCTTTCCCCTTGACCCTACCCCTTTTTGAGTACTCACTTTGCGATGTTTTATTTGGCTGAACTTTGACATCACCTTTGTGAGGAGTTACACTATCTGAGTTCTCCTTTGAGTATTTCAGTAAATACATCTGTATGCACTTGCATACCACCCAACATAAACTTACATGTTTATGAGCCAAATATAGCTTCCATATAGACTAACCTCATCTACAAAGGCGGTTACAAAATGGACAATTTACAGAGTATGGGCACATATTGAAACAAAAAAATCAAAATTTTAGAACTAATGAAGCAATGGACACAACAGCTAGTAAATTCTAACAGAGACTTTTAATACATAGTAAGGTCTACAAAACCAACTGTTTTCAGCATTATAGAAAGAGTAATATATAATTAGTTGTTTTCTTTGTTTTCAACATATACTCATATATATATTTGATTTGGTGTTTTCTTTTTGGTCCAGCTAAACATAAATGAAAAAAAAGAAACCAAAGAATCCACTATACTAGTTTCAGACTCATCAAGAGGTACCAGTTCATTTAAGTAAGTGAGTTGAAGTAAGTTGGATCAGCTATTAGGCACATTGGAAATCTTGGGCTTATGTTTTCTTAAAAATCTAAGAGTCTCATATTCCAAATTCAATTGTTTTGACTTTCAGGCATATTTTTCAACTTAATTACTTGGCTTTTAAATTCAAGAATAGAACAAACCTCATGACATACGTATTGGGAAATGTATGACTTGGAGTCAACCTCTGTTTCTTTCATTCATCCTTTAGGATTAAAACCAAATTAAAATTTAATTAGTTATTACCTGAATAAAACAAAATAGCATTTACTTTTATTTCCTTCCTTATATGTAAAAGCTAAAACTTTACTTAAGTTAGGATTAGGTACTTCATAGACCTGATAGTTAAGAGGCACAACTCTTGGAAAATGACTCACCAGAACACAAACGCTTTTTTTCAAAGTCTCCACATACATAATTTTACAATAAAAATATTCAATGAAATTCTTTCTACCATGGCAAGGATAATTTCCTACTCTCTCTTGTGCTAATTCAAGATGTAGCACCACAGTTATTTTTACTAAAAGAAGAAATCAGAGAAAAGCAGATTTTTCCCCTCTGAAGTATTGATAGGAAAAAGCTCTGACTGTCCTGAAGAATGGTTCCATTTATCTACTTTCCTGAATTCATGGAAATGGAAAAAAAGAGTTGTTCTTCAATAGTTCAGACATCAAAAATTATTTCA